TGGAGTATTTGCTTTATTTGTGGCTTCCATTCTTGCTTCTACCATCTGCATCTTTTCCTGAAGATGTTAATATAAATCTACATCAGTACATTTCTTCTGGTTCCCTGTCGCTGGGATATTCACTTTATTTCTGTCTTCCCATCTTTCTTCCATGATTTTTACCTTTCAGTATCTGTTTGTATGACTCCACATCAATAAATTTCTTTTGCCTATCTATTGAATATTTTTTTGGATCTGCAGTATGCTCTGCTTTTTTGGGAGAAGGCTTAAATTATTCCCGCCCCCCACCCCCCCACCCCCCATGTTTGAAGCTCTGTTGCTGCTTTCTTGACATTATATGAAGATTTTCTTGGTATGTGTTAGGCTGTTTTCTATTTTGTCTGTGTAGGTTGTTGATAGTCCTTTATCTTTATGATATTATTGATTAATTTCAGAGTTAAAGTGTTCACTCTATGGAGGTGGGCAACTTTCTCTACTGCAAGTCCTTTCTGGGGCTGTAGAATAGGAAAACTTGCCTTTTCTAAAAACCTTCAGGTTTTCTCTGGTCTGCAGTGCAACCCTGTGGCAATCTCACCTTATTGCAGTCCCCTCTCCTAAAGTCTATTGCCCTTTTTTGTCTGGCGCATGATGTGTCCAGGCTCCCAAACTCAACAAGTTCCTCTCCAAGGAGTTTTGTAGGCAGCTTCTTTCCTCACTAACATTTCAGTGTGCCAGCCATGGAAGTGAGTCTCTTGCCTGATTGTAGCCCCCCGTCTTAAAATCCACTGTCCTCTTTGCTCCGTGAGATGTGCCTGAGGCAGCCAGGATCCCCAAATGAACTTCTGTTCTTATAAACCATCCAACTGTAGTATTCTGTTAAATCAGTGTTAGGAAACTAAGATACCTACTTATTCTTCGGGACAGATTCAAGTGTCACCTTTTCCATGGAGCCTTTCTTGACTCCTCAGAAGTTCATTCTCATTCTCTCCCTGAGCTGCTACAATATCTTGCCTACCTTAGGATTAAACTAAATTCAGTGACCTGGGATGAAAGAAACCAAGGGTAGGGCGGGCATGCATGCCAAGACCCTATTGATATGGAGTTGACTCCGATTCATGGAGACAAGCTACATGTCATGTACGCCATAAGGTTTGTAACGGCTGGTTTTTCACAAGAATATCACAAGCCTTTCTCCTGAGAAACCTCTTAGTAAACTTGTACCTGAACACCTCTCCTCCTAACAGAGCACAAGGCTGAAAGTGACCCTGGAATCTGTCCCTAGGACAAAAACCCTTGTTCACTTACTCATCAACTCTGTTGTCAGGCCAAGGTTTGCCTTTTCCATCTATAAAATGGGGATAAAAATAATTCATGCCTCACAGGGATAATGAAGGGACACACCAAGTTGATCCAGAAGTGCCTTGGTAGAAAGAACTGACAATGAACTTCTAGATCGTTATCCATTGAAAAGGCATCCATGGGGTCCTTTAGGTCAGCCTTGATTCAGTGGCCAAAAATCAAGCCTACTTATTGTAAATGTCAACTCATGGCCACTCCATGTGTCACAGAGCAGAACACGTCATAGGATTTCTTGGTTGTCTTGTTTATAGGAACAGATGACCAGGCCTTTCTCTGTGGTGCTGCTGGGTGGATTTGAAAAGTTAACCTTTAAGTTAGTAGTCAATGCAAACAGATCATACCTCTCAGGGCCCTGGCTTTATTATACATCTTTAATTTTTTTAAATTGTACTTTTAAGTTTACAAAATAAACTAACTTCCCCTTCAATAGTGTGTTTCTAAGGTGCCCTGTGACTGTGGTTGCATTCCTAAAATGAATCAGAGCTCTTCTCATTTCTGTCCTGGGTTACCTCTTCCCTTTCATCTGATATTTCTACCCCTTCATGGCTTCTCTTCTTCTTTGTTTTCAGCAAATCACATCTTTTTTTATCTCAATAATTATTTTGAAGAATACATTTCTCTCAGATGTTATTATTATATACCTATTTCTTTGTTCTCTTCTAAACCCAGCCTGGGTTTAGAAGGGGTCGTGGTGCTAGAGATATTGTAGCTGATGTTAAATGGATCTTAGGTGAAAGCAGGGAATACCAGAGGAATGTGGATCTGTGTTTCATTGACTATGCAAAGGCAGTTGACTGTGTGGATCATACCAAACTGTGGCTGACTCTGAGGAGAATGGGAATCCCAGAACACTTGATCGTGCTAATGAGAAACCTATACTGGGACCAAGAAGCAGTCGTCAGAACAGGCAAGGGAACACTGACTGCATGGTTCAAAATTGGGAAGGGCATACATAAGGGATGTGTCCTGTCTCCATACCTTTTCAACCTGTAAGCGGAAGAGATTATCTGGGAAGCTGGGCTCTAGGAGGAGAAATGTAGAGTCATGATTGGTGGAAGATCTATCAACAATCTGTGATATGCAGATGATACAACCTTGCTTGTTGAAACTGAGGAGGACCTGAAGTTCTTGCTGCAGAGGGTCAAGGACTGCAGCCTCCAATATGGATTGAGGCTCAATGTCAAGAAGACAAAGATTCTCACCACTGGGCCAACTGGCAGCATCAGGATGGATGGTGAAGAGATTGAGATTGTTCACAGCTTCAGTTTGTTTGGCTCCACAGTCAACACTCTCAGCACCAGCAGCCAGGAAATTAGAAGATGCATTTCCATGGGAAAGTCTGCTGTTAGGGACCTCTCCAAAGCACTGAAGAGCAATGGTGTCTCTTTGGAGACTAAGGTGCATCTGATACAGTCCATGGTCTTTGCTATCACTTGTTATGCATCAGAGAGTTGGACAATGACTAAGAAGGATAGAAGGAGAGTTGATGCCTTTGAGCTGTGGTGCTGGAGAAGAGTATTGAGAGTATCGTGGACTGCTAGGAAAACAAACAGATTCATCCTGGAAAGGGTCAAACCGAGCTGCTCCTTGGAGGCAAGGATTCTAAGGCTCCCTCTAACATACTTTGGACATGTTGCAAGGAGGGACAGGTCCTTGGAGAGGGACATCATGCTTGGGAGGGTGGAGGGAAAGCGCAGAAGGGGAAGGTCCCCTATGAGGTGGATTGATTCAGTGACTGGGGTAATCGGGATGGGTGTATCAGAGACGGTGCGATTGGCACAGGACAGAGCGGAGTTTAGGGCTGTTGTACATAGGGTTGCTATGAGTTGCAAGCGACTCGACGGCACATAACAACACAAACAACATTTCTTTGTTGGACAGTGGTCTTTGGGAAGCTGGTTCTAGGTCAGAAGGGTGTCTTAGGGTCATGGTCTCTGTGCTTCTTCAAGTGTTAGTGAGATCAGTACATCTGGTGTTTTTTGACTATGAATTTGATTCTTTGATTTCCATCTTTTGCCCTCTCTGTCTGAAGGAGCCTTCTATTTAGATCTTAGTCAGCGGGTGGGGGTGGGGTGGGGTGGAGAAGGATGGTGGTAGTGGCAGTTAGGTATCTTCTAGTTCTTGCTTCGGGGACAACTGGTTTTTCACATGGCTGTTCAAGTGAAAGTCCAGCATCAAACCTAGAGAACCGTAAGGTAGTAATGTCACCGTTCCAAGTTTTGCCTCCATACAGACAGCGATTCAGGTGTACAAAATGATTTTTTTTTAATTTATAAAGTTAGTCAATGGTGCCATCAGTAAGCAGAACATATTTTTAAGCAAAGGCTTTTCTCCCTACCTCAACCAGGCCCATGAGATCGTACTTGGGAACTATGATCCTCCCATAAGCCATCTCTGCCTGGGGTCTCCTGGCTTTTGAAGAGAACCAATGGCACTGGAGTGTATTGGAATCAGCCATGATTGAAGGTGTACCTAATCTGCTGTCACTTCAAGGATTCATTTCCCTTTGTTAACATAAGAATCTGTGTGTCATGGATTGAATTATGTCCCCTCAAAATGCATGTCAACTTGGCTGGTTTTCTGGTTCTCCAAAGAATGTAATTATCCTATTTGTTGTAAATCCTAACTTCACAGATATTAATGAGGCTGTGATAGAGACAGTTATGTAATGTAGTTATTCCCTGTGTTGACGTCAGCCAAACAGTTGAAAGGACATCAGGGTGGGATAAAGCATCCTTAGTGAGGTCAGACCTGAGAGGTTACCTTGGGGTGTGGGCTGCAGTATCCTTTTGCTTACATGAGATAAAAGAAGAAAGAAGCTATCAAAGCAGAGCCTTCAGCACCACCATATTTCCCGTGCTGGGAAGCTCCTTGACATAGAGGAGGGCTCACACACATGGAACTCTCCAAGCACCATGAGCCTTCAGATTCAGAAGGAAACAAGGACCTTTCTCCAGAACCAACAGAAAGCAAGCCTCTCCTCTAGAGCTGTCATCCTGGATTTGTCACCTAAACACTGAGAGAGTGAACTTGATTGTTAAAGCTGTGGCATCTCTGCTATAGTAACATTAGGTGACTGAGACACATGGAAGACCACCTGCATTGATCCTTTACGGTGCACATGCGGAGATGAGGTCCCGAGAGGGATAATACTGCCCAATGCCACACAGCTGGGGAAGACTAGAGATAGAAAACTCTTTTCTCGTATTCAATTGAATGCTCTTTCCAGGCCATGACAAGAGGTATTGTTGAGAAAAGGGTCATCCATCAATCAGCATATCATACCTGATGCTCAGGTTTGGAGATATGCCTCCCAGTGGACCTCATCCGTGAGATCACCATCTACGTGGCCGTGGTTTGGATTTCAGTCTTCTGGGACTCTAGGCCTCTTTCTGCCACTATTATGCTGTATGACTTAGGGTAAGTCATCGTCACTGGAACCCAGAGTTACTCCCCACTTATTAAAAGATGAAGAGAATATGTCCTTGAAGAGCACTTGTGGCTTGAAATGGTGTGAAAGGAAGTAATCATCAATACATCAATGCCATTATTATTTATTACTTCTCATTAGTTAACTAAACATGAGGGTATCACTAACCACCAGTAAAGAGTCCCCCATTTTTCACCATGGAAGCTTGAAGTCTTTCAACAGAAGCCCCATCTCAGGGGTAGTTCACTTTCCCAAGAAAGAGGATGCTGTTTGTTCTGTCATGAACAATGAGTATCAGGAAGGGCCTGTCGAGTATAATCACAGGAGTGTGTCTCCAGGCTGACCTGAAAGAGACGCCTATCTCTGTGGCAGCAGATGCTGTGGTTCCCAACTCATCTACTTCCACCATGGACTTGTGCACAATCTGCAGGAGAGACATAAACAGCACTGAACCATGGAGGGCTGGGCAACGTCCTATAACAGACAGTGTCCTGTGGGCTCTGTTCCTGTGTTGTCCGTTTCAACATCCCATGTGACTCAGCCACGAAGGGCATAGGAAGGAAAGCCCCTGAGCAGGTGCTGGGCACCAGCTGCTGTCTCAGGAGTGACTGCACACATTGAACCCTCATGTGACATTTCTGGGAGTAAGGGTGACTCTGAGTTTTCTAAATGAGAGAAAAGATACTCAGAGAGATCAAGTAACTTGTTGGAGGTCAAGCAGCTATTAATAGTAAATGAAGGAGCTTAATATAGGACTCCTTCCCCTAAGGCACGGGGTGGGGGTGGGGGGCTGTGAATTTTCATGGCAGAGGTAAGACAAACCGTGAAATCTTTGGTTCTTTCTTAAGGGTAAAGAGGAGAGAAGGAAGGAGAGAAAGAGAGGAGGACATGTACACAGAGAGATGTAAGGGGGGAGGGGGAGAGAGAAGGAGGAGGGGGAGAGGGAGCGGGAGGGAGAGGTAGAGAGGTGTGAATGAAAGAGGAGGTTGGTGAATGAGAGAGGTTCTCTGAAAGCTGGTGCTTAGGAAATCCAGAATTACCTCAGACACATAGATGTTTGGGAGGCTAGTGATACCACTCAGGTCAGCTTGGGAAGTGAAGATCTCACGGATCCCCAGCTTAGGAAGGTCATTCTTCAGCTCATAGGAACCCTCGATGGAGAATCTGGGAAGGTAAATCTCAAACTTCCTGGAAAGAGAAAAAGACCCTTTTCAACTCCTATAGAATTCTAACTCTCTGAGCTCGTTTAGCAGTCTTCTCTGTGCTTCCTAATGCTCCGACACCTCCTTCACAGTCCTCATCTGGGTGGAGCTCAGTTCACTCTGGACTTGGACTTGAGTGCTCACTTGGAGGCGGCTGTCATCCTGTCTAGCATCACCCTGTGCAAAGAACTTTTCATTCCCTCAGCTGAGCCAACTTCCCGGCCTGTGACATCGAGTGATGGCTCTAGATTTGGAAGCTGCCCCTGGGATGAAGGAAATTACCCCACCTCTCTTTAAGGAGCCTTAGGAGAGCAAAAAATGCCTCCCTGGGGGTGTCTAGGGTCAGGATGGCCCAGGTGGAATTTGACATACCGTCTTCTGAGCATCTCAAGCCACTTCTGTAAGGTTTTGGCATTCAGCCCACTCTCCACTTGCTTCATGGAGTCTTTGTTGGGGAGAACGAAGAGGGCCGTGGCATTGCCTTGGTAGGGGATGCCCACCACCGTGCAGTCGAGCTTCGAGTCCTGCAAGAAGAGGTAGAAGTCTTCCTTGTTCATCATGGGCACCTGGATCACCTTCTTTGTGCTCACATGGAAGTCCTTCTGCCGAGTTTTTTCAGGGTTGAAGCTTGTCTTCCATTTAGCTAAAGTTGTACATGAAAAAGAAAAATCGATGGGACTTTGTTCAAGAATTAGCTCCAAGTTAGAAAGATTGGGGACAGGAAGTATAAGTCAACAAAGATCAACATTTGGAACAATGTTCTTTGCAGCAGATCTCTTTCTCATTTAGGGGATATCCATTAACTTTTGGAAGGATCCTTCCTTCCACATTCACACACCAGGAAACTACTTTTCATGTTATTGGAGGTCTTCACCACTTACTAACTCACTCTCACTGCCACTGAGTCAGAATCAATTCATAGCAGAGACTTTCATGAGTTTCCAGAGGCGGTAAATCTCATGGGAGATTATCCATCTTTTCCCCACAGAGCAATTGGTGAATTTGAACCACTCATCTTTGGGTTGGCAGTGCATCTCCCTACCCACTAGGCTACCAGCGACTTTGGATTTCCCGTGCTTGAAGCCAAGTCCCTAAATGAAGAAGGGGGAGGTACAGATAACAGTGAGCATGATACCTGTGAGAGGGATTTTGCTTGTCATTCTCTTCCTGATACAGCATTTTGAGCTGAGTCTGGGAGAGGGCTTTGGAAATGCATTCTATTTCCCCACTGGAAGTCTGAATGATGCTTTCTTCTCTGGCTACTTCTCGGATTTTTGATGAGAGGGCTACACTTAGGTGTGTCCACCTCTTTAGAAGAGATCTAAAGCAAGATCTTCATGTTGCACTCAGAACTGAAACCTAACCACAACTACTGAGCGGACTCGAACTCACAGGGACTCCCTGAGGCAGACAACTGTCCCAGGGTTTCCCAGGGCTGCAATCTTCACCGACAGTGGCTGCAGCAGTGGGCAGCAGCAGTGATTACAATGATGGTGTTTTATTTTGCTACACATGAATTGACTAGGAGTGGAAAACAACTCAATGACATGCAACCAGACAATGCAATATTTATAGAAGCAGTCTGTCCCCCACTTTCTCCACAGAGGGGCTAGCAGACTTAGACCCTGATAACTTATTTGTTGTTGGTTTTGTGTACTGTCAAGTTGGAACTGACCTGTAGCTGACCCTCCAGTGGGTTTTCAAAGGAGACAGGAGGAGACTTCTCAACCTTCTCCCACAGAGCAACTGGTGGATTTGAACCACATGCCTTTGGGACTCTAGCACAACTTCTTAACACTTGGCTATAAGAGCTACCCCATTTAGTAGCTATCGAAAGTCATTGTTGTTGTGCACTTTAGTTTTGGAACGAACTCAGCTGACCCTCTAGTGGCTTTTCAGAGGCAATTAAATCCATGGGGGATTTTCCATCTTTCTCCCACAAGCACTTGTTGGATTTGAACTGCTCAACTTTGGTTTCGCAGTGAAACTCCTTAACACTAAGCCACCTAGGCTCCCTCTCATGTCCTCACTTCACTTCTTTCTCAGCTGTAGTCTGAGCCTGGTAAGGGGAGAGTCTAGTCTAAGGGAGGGGAAGGCACAGTTAGAATCCAAACTGCTTGGACACTTCTCCTCTGCAACCATAGATAAATCCCTGAGGGAGGAGGGGATTAACCACTTCCCTTCCCTCTCCTTCATTCTGCTCCTTCCCCCCTCCTTTCCCCCTCCCATTTCTTCGCCCCTCCTCCCCCTTCCCTCTCCTTCTATTCCTTTCTGCCTCCTTTGACCCCTCTCTCCTCCCTCCTCTCTCCTTCCTGCTTCTATGCACGTCTCCTTTTCTTTCAAGGTTTCTCTGCTGGCCTACTGGTAAGAAGCTATGCTTGCCCACCCAAAGGCACACGGTTCAAACGCACCAGCTGCTCCACAGAAGGATGATCAAGCTCCTCGTGATTTATTGCCTCTGAAAAGCCACTGGAGGGTCCGTTCCCACTCTACCACACACACAATGACGACTGGTAGGGTAGTCTCTGGGGAGTTGAGCTGCTCACCTAAAGGGGCCACTCCTGGTACTTTGAATCCACTAGCGTGGGAGGGAAGACGAGTAATCTCCTGCTGCCCAATTCACAGCCGCTCGGAAAACCCTCTGGAGGGTCAGCTCCGAGTCTGGTCCAGCTGCACAGTGAGTTGCTGTTCCCCTCTGCCCCTTCCTCTTGGGTTTTCTCCTCCCCTTCTCTCCCTCCTCTGCGCTTCCTCTTCCTCTGCCCTCCTTTCCTGCTCTTTCCCTCCTGCCCTGCCCGCTTCCCCTTCTCCCTGCTTCCAGCCTCTCCTCTCTTCTTTCCTCTTTTGCCTCCCTTCCTCTTCCTCTACAGGTACCCCCAACTCCCTGCTTTTGGAAAGCTCACTTCGGGGTACTCTGCTTTTGCAAAAGATCTACATTAATATCTGTTTTCACTAATCAACAAACATTTCAAGACGACTCGATGTTATGTTTTTAAAAATGGTAAATGCAGTGAGCGCGTCCTTGGCGAGCTACCTCAGCAGGCACCACCCTCGTCTTCCGCATCAGGTTTCCATGGACGTGGACTGGGTCTGTGCACTGTATGTAGGTGTTATGTGAGGTTGTATGTGCTATTTGGTAGGATTTCAGAGGTTAAGCCTGGGGTCTAGAAATCCTTGAAAATGTTTCCCATGTACATCAGGGGGACATAGGATAAGGACACAGGATAGGGAGATCTGGCTGCTAAGAGGTAAGGAATTAGGCTGCCAGCGTGGAGGTGCTTAGTTTGAATGCATCTGTCATGCAGGAAAAAGGTGGGCAATCTCCTCCCAAGTGATTTACTGCCTTCCAAAACCCACTGGAGGGTCGACTATGGGTCAGTATTGACTCAGTGGTACACAACACTGACAACAATTGTAATGGTGATTGCCCTTCGCCTTACACCATTTCACTTTGTGAAGAAAGGTTGTATGGAACACTGGAACACTGTCCTTTAGGGTAGTGGAGGGACACAGCATTTCCCTCCTTCCCATCCTCAGCCAGGGCTCTGGGGCGCTCAGCCCCCACAAGAGAGGCTGGTGTGTGGGCTGATGGGCACAGGGGTGTTGACACAGTGTCAGGAGATAAAGACTCCTGTCAGCTCGTGCTGCGCAGGGATAAGAGTGGAGACTCAGAAGAGGCCCTGGCCTGTGAATTCCTCAGCTAAGCAAATAGCCCCTAGGAGTGGGTGAGGGAGAGAGAGGTTATGAAACTTTGTGAGTCCCCATCAGCCCACATGCCCACCTTCCTTAGCTGTGGGGCCTTTCCCTTGACATGGTGGGCAGGTTAGGACAAAGTTTGCAAGTTTCAGTGGCTTAGTTCCTAGGGAGCTGTGCTGCTTAACCACAGGCTGTGTGTGGCTCTCCTGAGGTTCGAATCCACCAGTTGCTCCAAGGGAGAAAGACAGGCCTCCCATGGGACTTTCAGCCTTGGGGACCCAGCGGAGGGTCAGCTATGAATTAGTTCCGGCTGGATAGCAATGAGCTTTCTTCTGTAGTGAAAGGGGTGTCTCCAGGCATCCCTGGAGCTCCTCCCTGATCCCTGGAAGCTCCTCCCAGGTGAAGGACATTTCTACAGTGAGAGGACTCTCACTGACACCTTTAGGTGCTGGGGGCTTGAGTCCGCTCAGAGATGCCTCAGAAGAGACGCCTGGAAACTCACATCCAGAAAACTAGCCACTGAGAACCAGCTGGAACAGAGCTCTACTGACACGTGGGGCCCCAGAAGTGAGGAGGACACCCCCCCACCCCCATTTGCAGATACCAGCAGGTTTTGTGCTATCAAAGGCATCAGGAAGCACCAGCTCACTCCTTTTCTTTGCCTCCAGGGGGCTGGGGTATTCTTTGGAGAGATCAAAGCACAAGGCTAGGGTCTTACCTTTAAAGAAAATGTAATTGACCATGACCATTATCGTTTTCTTATCCAGGCGCTTAATCAAGTCTACGATATTGCCATTTGTTTGATTGGCCACATAATCATTAATCTGCTTCTTGGCTGCTTGGTCATTCTTAAAGTCACTAGGGAAGATGTCCGCCAGGTACAGGCTCTTCACGGCCCTCAGGAAGGCGTCCTGAATGTTCATGGTTGTGTCCGTGAACAAGGCATTGCCAAGACTCAGCTGGAAGTTGTCACTGGGCAGGTCTAGCTCCTGCAGTTGCTTCTGGAAGGCCCTGTGGAGTTCTCTCTCCTGAGCTTCCTGGAGTTGGAAGCCCAGGCCGTGCAGGATCTGTGTCTTTGTGTGGGACCGGGCCCCCAGGGAGAGCATGGCCAGGGACATGGAGACACTCAGGGGCGAGAAGAAGATGTTCTTAGAGAGGTCGGCTGAAGCCAAGACTCTGTAGAGGTCAAAGGCAAAGCCATTGCTCTGGGCAGGTCCCATGACATCTCTGGATTTCTCCTCACCTCTCTTTCTCAACCCATGAGAGTTACGGCGGCCCCAGGTGGTCACTCCAGGGCTGAGAAAGACAAGGCCCAAGAAGACGACGAGGTGCATCGTGGCTACTGCTGGTTCTAGAAGGAGGAAAGCATTCTCAGAGAAGGTGATCTTGAGCTGGGGGGCTGGGAGAAAGGGACAGGATTACAGGGTGCACAAGACTGACGTCCTGGACAGTAACATGGCCCTGAACCTGTGTTTGGGCAGGACATCATGACAGAGACGGTGGTGCCCATGAGGGGAGAGTGAGGAGTGGGCAGAGGGTATAGACTTGGGGATGTGGACATCTAACAGCAGAGAGAGGAAGCAGGAGGTGGAGGAGGTTCAAGCCTGCTGCAGAGTCTGGCCACCAGCGAGGGATCTTCCCATCATTGGCCAGATGAGTGGGGGGCAGGGGTGTTCCTTCATCTCACCCAGGTCGGGAGTGTGGAGCAGCCCCTGTGACCTGGTACAGCAGCACCTCTAAGTTTCCAAGGGAACTAGAAGCTTCTATCCGCTCCTGGCCTCTAACCTTCACCTTGGGGCCACTGGTGATTCAGTGTAGGAGACACAACTTCTGAATGAGTCCCTGCTGGTCACCTGGTCAACCCACCTCCCATGTGGCCAGAACCTGTCTGTCAGCGGAGGCTGGCACGTTGCTGTGACACTAAACCGGTTTCTACAGAGCTTTGCGACTAAGCCACTAGGAAGAAAGGCTTGGCCAATCTACTTCTGGAAATCAGTCCATGAAAGGCCTGTTATGATTATAGTGGATTATTATGAGGACAAGCTTGGAAGCAGGAGTGACATCCACATCTGTAAATAGCTTGCCTCCGGAAACCCTATGAACCTGGAGAGAGAATGAAAGCCACGCATGTGTCCTGCTGTATTGGCACGCTTTGGAGCGCGGCCCGGATTCGAATCTGAAATAAACTCCCTCTTGCCCTTGCATCGGTGTTGGCTCCTTGGTGACTTGGGGGGAACTGGATTTGGGGCACAACATGAGGATGGTTCAGGACTGACAGTGTGCACGGGGTGGGGGTCCTCATTCAGGCTGCATTCATGTTGGGGGGCCCAGTTGTGATGGCACAATCCTCCCAAGGGAGCACAGATCTCCCCACCTTTCCCATCAGACCTCTCCCTCTCCCATCAGACCTCCACCTAAGAATAGTGGAACGAATTGACTTGTGTCCCTCACCAAATTCTAGCTCACCAAGACCCCACAGGACAGAGCAGAACTGCCCCAGTAGGTATCTGAGGCTACAAACGTTTCTGGAAGCAGGTTGCTGGGTTTGAACTGGCGACCTTTCTGCTAGGAGTGTAATACTTAAGCTACCACATCACCAAAGCACTTTATACTGGAAAGGGTGGGTCCCAATCCAATATGTATGATGTGCTTATAAAAGAGGGAAGGAGACAGAGATGGGGGATGAAGGAAAGTCATGCAACATGAACTCCTGGGCCAGCTGTGGCTGGCAAGGGCGTGGGAACAGAAGGAACCTTCGGCGTGGCTGACCCGCTGACACCCTGACCTTGGCCTCCCAGCTGCCATCGCTGTGAGAAGAGGAATTTCTCTTGGGCCACTCTGCAGGAGCTCTGGTGGCCTCGTGGTAGGACGCTGCACTGCAATCCCAAAGGCCTGCGGTTTGAACCCCTCAGCTGCTCTGTGGGAGAAGGAAACGTAACCCCCTCCTGTGAGGTTTGCTGTCCCTGAAAACTTCCTGGGGTGTCAGCTCTGATGAGTCCGTTCACACTGGACAGCACGCAGCTTTGCTGGACTTCGTGATGGCCATCCTAGGACATGAAGACCGATGGAGCCCACGAACCTGTCTTTGCAAGAAGGAAGTGACCGAGAAGGGCCACTGTGGGGACTTTGAGTGGAGGAGCCAGACGCGGGCACAGTGCCCCCATGGTCGTCTCGGGGTGCAGCGCCCAGAGGCATTGTGGAGACACGTGACTGCAGAGTTGGGGGGAGTGGCACAGGGGGAAGTGACCAGTGTCTCCTTGCACTGATATTTGGGCTGCTTCTCATCTACCATCAAGTGGTTATCGCCCCCCCACTGGGGGTCACACTTCCCCTGCTGAACCTTGGGGTACATGCTCCCCACCTTGACCCCCGTGCTCACTCACATAGGTTGCTTGTGAAGTTGGGTGATATACACCACGAAGTTCTACATAGAGAGTATAAAGTCCTAGCCTTGAACCCTCTTCCAGATACTCTCCCCATGTGGCCACCATGTCCTCAAGCTCCCTGGACCCACAACAAGTGGGGCAACTGATGCAAGGTCATGTCCCCAAAGCCAAAAGGCCTCAAACTGGGGTGCTGGAAACAGCTTGTAGAGCGCCTCTGAAGGCTTGGGAGGTACACAGACAGGTGTAGGAGGCCCCAGGGTTCTGGGCTATAGTCTTGCTTTTATCCAATGAACGTTAACGACCTACACAGATCACACTCACTACTCCTTGGCCCCTAAACTGTACTTTGACCTTGGAGGCAAGGGTCCTTTAAGTAAGAAAGAAAAATATATGTATCTGATCTTCAAAAGTTATATGATGGAATTAAAGCTGAAACAGAAATCCTTTTCTGAAAATTACTAACAGAAACTCCCTTGTCCTTGTACTCTTCTTGTGAACCAGCCAAGGCCAGTTCCTGGTGCATTATCGTCCTGTGAAACAAAGACTTTTCATACATCTTCAAGCCCTAGCCCTCTCCTCTCAAGCCCCTTCCTTTCAAGCACAGGTCAAATCAGAAAACCAGGTAGGAACAAGAAACCCTTGACCAACAGGGTGAGCTGCAGTCTGAGCTCTTGCCTCAGAGATAAAAACCCCAGCAGACTGCCCATCGGTGTGCTTGCTGGTCAGACCCCGGTCCGCCCCAGCAATCTTCTGCAGGAGTAAAAGACTTTCCCTGTGTTTCTGTTGTGACACTGAACCACGTTTCTTTCTTTTTTTTTTCTTTATCAACACTGTCAAGAAGGCGGTGGTTACTGCAGTTTCAACAACCTGTGCTCAGCGGCTGCTCAGGGTGAACCACGTTTCTAACACTCAGAATTCCATCTGCAGAACCTCAAGTCACACAGAACCTCACACAACTTCTTCATGCTCGGTTCTCTCCAAGCTGCATTCACAGTTGGGAACCCTGAGGTTGCACCACCCCTCCGTCAGGCTGTTGTCCTATAATGGCTTGTGGAGCATCAGGACACTGATAGTGACTCAATTCAACTCCTTGTCATCGAGTTGGGCCACACGGGTGGCTGACCCTCCAGTGGATTTCTGAGTCTGCAAAACGGCACAAGAGAAAAGACAGCTTCTCTTTCTCCCATGACGGTGGATTTGAACTGCCGGAGAGAGGTGCAGCCTTTGGGTTAGCCCCTGAATTCACCGTGGATTACATCATCTAAGATCTCTGGTCATTAAAATACCAGTCGTGTCGCTCACAGTGAACAAGTTCCAGTGGGATATCCAGAGTAAGAGAGACTAGGAAGAAAGGTCTGGCAATCTACTTCTGAAAAGGAGCCCATGAAGAGCCTGAGCACAGCAGGCTGCTGCCTGCTACAGTGAGAACGGCTTCTTGTTGTTAGTTTTGTTAGGAACGTCGATTTCTTGGAAAGGGACCTCATGCTTGGAAAGATGGAGGGTCAGTGAAGGAGAGGAAGACCCTCAAGGAGATGGATCAACACAGAGACTGCAGCACTGGGCTGAAGGATGTCAGAGACGCCGTGGACGGCACAGACTAGGGCAGTGTTCAGCCTGGCTGTTCACAGGGTCACTCTGAGCCATACAACAGCACCAAACAATGACAGCGACAACGTAGTGAGAACAGGAGGGTTTTGTACCCTGTGTAGAGGGTCCCAGTGAGTCAGCATCAACCCCAGGGCACTTAACGAAGATCTGAGGTTCAGAGAGGCTGTGTAATTGGCTAACCTAGTTCTGGCCCCCAGAGCCCACAGATCTACCCAGCATATGTGGGGCTTCTTCGGATATGTGTACTCCCTTAATTGTACCCCAGCCTCCGGATTCTGTGTTCCCTGATAACCTCTTCTCTGTAGATAAGTCTGGTCTTCCCATCCGGCACGCCCCCGTCCTGGGGAGGGTGGCCCTCAGAGAAAAGCATGTGTGGGGGCTTAATGTCTTCAGGAGGGACAGCACGGGGGGCCCTTTTGCCAAGTGTGAGAATCATCAGTGCAAGTCTGTTTCCAGGGTCCTTCTAAAAATTCAGTTCAAAGCATGTTAGGGGAATGGAATAGAGGGGAGTGGAGGGGCGGGGAGGGTGGGGAGAGGTAAAGAGATGAGAAGGGAGGGGAAGAGAAGGAGAGAGAGGGAGGAGGTAAAAGGAGAAGAGGGAAAAAGAAAGCCTTCCCTTTGCAGAAAGGTATCAAAAACCCAGCCCAGAGAACGTTTCCTGCTCCCTGTGGCCCAGAGGCTGGAGTTGTAGCCTCCCACCTCCATCCAGCTCAGGTCTGCTGACTTTGTACTAGCCTCTCCTAGTTTTAAATGTTCTGTTTCTTCTTTTTTTAAAAAATTTTTTTTTTTAATTTTATTATTTTTGTGTGCGTGTACCGTCAAATCAGATCTGACTGGTACAGGAGGAGATTGTCCCTCCTTCCCCAGCAGAGCATCTGGTGGGTTCGAACCGTTCACCTCTGGGATTGTAGTTGCAGGTCCTTGCCACTAGGCCACCAGAGCTCCCCCTAAATGTTCTGTTTCTTCTTGAGACAAAAAGGACCCCTTTGTGTGCCAGGACACATCTGCCCATCTCCCCCAGGTGAACCCCAGAGATCAGATGCCAGGAGTCACTTGTCTGAGTGCCCTGGGTCTCCCCGGAAGGCAGGGTCTCTGGGGAGAGGGTCCAGCTCCCTTCAGACTTTCCTGGGCTGCAGCTCCTTACTCCACCTAAATCAACTCTTTCTCTAGTTTTTATCAGCAGTAGGATTTGTCGAGAGAGTCCCTAGGTGGTGCAAACCATCAAACACTCAACTACTAACAAGAGGTAGTTGGTTCAAATCTCCTCAGAGGCACCCTGGAAGTCAGACGTGGAGATCTGCTTAGGAAAAGTCACACCTTGAAGACCCATGGAAGGAAAT